GTGGTGGCAATGGTCACCGTATCCGCTGTTAGCGTAACACACCCGCTTTAAGGACACTGACTGCTATTCAATCTATAACAGTGAAAAAAGTGGTTGGTTTTTTTTAAATACAAGCTTTGTGTCACCAGATCAAAGTGGTGGCAATGGTCACCGTATCCACTGTTAGCGTAACACACCCGCTTTAAGGACACTGACTGCTATTCAATCTATAACAGTGAAAAAGGTGTTTTTTGTTTTTAAATACAAGCTTTGTGTCACCAGATCTAAGTGGTGGCAATGGTCACCGTATTCACTGTTAGCGTAACACACCCGCTTTAAGGACACTGACTGCTATTCAATCTATAACAGTGAAAAAGTGTTTGTTTTAAATCAAGCTTTGTGTCACCAGATCCTGGTGGTGGCACTGGTCCTCGCTCATCCCACTGTTAGCGTAACACACCTGGCGAAGATAACTGACTGCTATTCAATCTATAACAGTGAAAAAAGTGTTTTTTGTTTTTAAATTCAAGCTTTGTGTCACCAGATCTAAGTGGTGGTACTGGTCACCACCACTTTCTTTTAACACTGATCTATTCAATCTATAACAGTGAAAAAAGTTTTTTTTTTTTAAATCCAAGCTTTGTGTCACCAGATATAGGTGGTGGCACTGGTCACCGTATCCACTGTTAGCGTAACACACCCGCTTTAAGGACACTGACTGCTATTCAATCTATAACAGTGAAAAAAGTGTTTTGTTTTTTTAAATCCAAGCTTTGTGTCACCAGATCTAAGTGGTGGCACTGGTCACCGTATCCACTGTTAGCGTAACACACCCGCTTTAAGACACTGACTGCTATTCAATCTATAACAGTGAAAAAAGTTTTTTGTTTTTAAATCAAAGCTTTGTGTCACCAGATCTAATGGTGGCACTGGTCACCGTATCCACTGTTAGCGTAACACACCCGCTTTAAGGACACTGACTGCTATTCAATCTATAACAGTGAAAAAAGTTTTTTGTTTTTAAATCCAAGCTTTGTGACACCAGATCTAAGTGGTGGCACTGGTCACCGTATCCACTGTTAGCGTAACACACCCGCTTTAAGGACACTGACTGCTATTCAATCTATAACAGTGAAAAAGTGTTTTTTTTTTTAAATCCAAGCTATTGTGACACCAGATCTAAGTGGTGGCACTGGTCACCGTATCCACTGTTAGCGTAACACACCCGCTTTAAGGACACTGACTGCTATTCAATCTATAACAGTGAAAAAAGTTTTTTTTTTTAAATCCAAGCTATTGTGACACCAGATGTAAGTGGTGGCACTGACTGGGAAATGGGCACAGTATGCACTGTGAGCCTGACACAGAAGCTGGCAGCAGTGGCAGACAACTGACTGCTATTCAATCTATAACAGTGAAAAAAGTTTTTTGTTTTTAAATCCAAGCTATTGTGACACCAGATGTAAGTGGTGGCACTGACTGGGGAAATGGGCACAGTATGCACTGTGAGCCTGACACAGAAGCAGGCAGCAGTGGCAGACAACTAAGTGCAATTACATTACATAGAAAAAAAAAATTAAAAAAAAGCATACCCTAACCCTAACCTAGCTATGCTTTTCCCTATCTAATGAACAGCAGCTACACTTTCCCTCCTCTTACTAAGCATGCAGCTTGAGAATGAATCTAAAATGGATGCCTTCCAGGAGGTGGGAGGGTCTGCTAGGGAGGGTGTGCTGCTAATTGGCTGGAATGTGTCTGCTGACTGTGAGGTACAGGGTCAAAGTTTACTCAATGATGACGAATAGGGGGCGGGTCGAACCGCGCATATGTTCGCCCACCGTGGCGAACGCGAACATGCTATGTTCGCCAGGAACCGTTCGCCGGCGAACCGTTCGGTACATCACTAATCTGCATGTGTGTCTGCATCCAGGGCTAGACTGGGAAAATGTTATTTTTAATTTTGTAATCACAGTGGCCCAATGTGAAGGGAGCAGGGCCAGAGAGGGGTGGAGGGCGGGGGATGTTGTCATCACCGATGACAAGCATGCCCCTTCTCCAGGACAGCCCATGCAGAAGATTTCTCACATGAGAAAAAGGCCCTGAAAAAAGTCCACTACCTACCTGGGTATCCAAATGACAAGAACATCTAGCCTTTAAATCGCAAAAAAAACATGAGCCACTGCTGACTAAGTTGTACCAACAACTGAAAAAATTGGGAAAACTGGAGGTGTCGTGGCTGGGTCGCGTAAATACCATCAAGATGATGGTTATGCCACATATATTGTACATATTCAGGACAATCCCAATTGAGTTAACGACTGCTATAGTGAAGACATTTCAGGCTCTCATAAATGCTCATGTTTGGAAAAAACTCCCTCCATGCATCTCACATGGGATAGGTAGGAGACCCACACAGAAAGGGGGATAGGGTATACCATGCACCCAAACATATTATATAGCATCAGCACTCGCACAGGGAATACATCTTCTGATAGCTGATCTCTGTAGTTATTTCTAGAGAGTGCTTCCATGACACTGAACAATATGACATCATTACTTTGGAGCGCTGAACCCCCAAGGACCACACAGAAAATTAAACTTTCTTCCACAAAACACTTGCTAAGAACATGGAATACCTGGACATCGAACCTAATGGGTCCAACCAAGCTACTCTCTGTGGCACCTATACAGGCTGTTACAGGGATGATGACAAACCCCTCAGTTACACAATGGGTAGATAAGGGGATCCATACAGTGGATAAGTTGTGTGATACCAGAGGCATTAAGTCATTCCCTGACCTCCAAAAACAGATCTTTCTCTTTCTCAAAGGAAATGTTTACATATTTGAGAATAAAACATATTATTACTTGTAGACAACTACACAAATACAATGCATTAGAAATAATGGCATTCGGACCCAAATGTCTTGGATACTTACCTAAAGCTAAATCGCTATCTCTATTCTACACAGAACTGTCCAACATAGGTACAGACATCAAACTTCCATATATGACCAAGTGGGAAGATGAGTTAGGAGTGATGTTTCCTTTAGAACAAAGGTTTCAGACATTGAAGATTGCCAAAGCAGCCTCACATTGCATAACACACTGGGAAGCTTTGTAATGAGATGGTATATGGTGCCGCAGAGATTACCCCATATTTATGCTGGTACTTCCCCAAAATGCTGGAGATCTTCACAAGCGACGGGTTCATTTGGACACATATTTTGGGAATGCCCAGTCTTGCTACAACTCTGGACATCTCTGGAATCAACCATATTACAAATAACAGGGTCTAAATTACCATTCCGCCCAGAGATATATCTGCTTCTTATGAACACTCCGCATAAAGAAATAATGCTACACCTCCTTTTAGCAACCAGAACCAGTACGGCAGCACAGTGGACATCCCCACAACCTCCCACATAAAAGGAAGTTTTAGAAAGAGTAGACATCTATCACCATGAACAAATAACATACCCCATGAAAGGCAAATAACATACTCATGCCCACATATGGGCTAACTGGTTTATCCATAGGTCTGATTTACTAAAATGATGGGAAAGAATAACATAATCCAAAAAAAAAAACAGTGTACGCAAGTCTATGGCGGATGCTTAATATGCACAGCAAAACAAACCCATTTTCCTGGCACTATAGGCTCTTGGAGTGCCCCCCTCCCTTGGGGGCACCCCTCCCACGGTGCAGAAGAGGGTTAAAACCTGTTCAGCCACTTACCTTAATCCAGCGCCGGACTACCTCGGCACTGATGACCTCTGCTCCCCCGCCGATGTCAGCTCCCGAGTGGAGCTAAATGCGCATGTTCGGCCAGAGGCACGCGCGCATTCAAACCCGCCCATTGGAAAGCATTACTCAATGCTTTCCTATGAAGATCTTCGTTTACACTGGA